CTTTAATTAACACATTAAATCTGTCAGCTTATCCTATCAGCTCTAAAACAAAATAGATTTTTATCCAACCCCTTCTGGACACATTCACTGTGACCAGTCTATTCTAAGTGATCATTTCTTGTCTGTTATTACAACATTTACCTAGTCTTCCGGTCATTGCCTTTGCCTCCATTTAGTCGCCTACTAAAATAGCAACCAGAGTGATCACTTTAAAATGTTACTCAGATTATGTCACTTCTCTGTTCAGAACTGTCCAAGAGTTTCCCCATTCTAAGAATCAATGTTACTGCAATGGCTTACACATGGAGCAGCCCCACCTTAATTCTTTAATTGCATTTGCTTCTGATCACTCATCCACTCACTCTAACCCAACAATATTAGCGTTATTATATTCCTAAATTGTGCCAGACACGCACCTGCCTCAAAGTTTTTATACTATCTGTTCCCTTTGTCTGAAGCACTCTTCTCCCTGCTATCCCAGGACTTGTAGTTCCTTTAAGTCACCTTTTCAATGAGGGCCTTCCTGTCACCCTATTTTAAGTGGTCACACCACATCTGTTTTCTCTCCAGAGCACTTTCTTCTAATGTCTATCTTTAGTATCACCATCTACAACACTATATATTTTACTAATTTTAACTGTTTATTATCTGTATCCCCTCAGATAAACATAAATTCTAGGAAACCAGGTATTATAAAGATTGAATTCCCAGGACATTTCAATGTAGAGTGAGAGGAAATTTTTTAAAAGAACTCAAGGATAACTCTTTGCTTTCTAATATGAATGCTTAGAGTACAGGAAAGTCAAGAGTTCCTTTTAAAAAAAGATAAAATGGGTTGAGTATCCCTTAGTTCAGAAAATATTGAAACGGTTTGAAAAATCTCTTGGGAACATAAGTGATATGGATTTCAGATGTATTTGCATTACAATTAGTGCTTGAGCATCCTTAATCTGAAAATCTCAACTCTGAAACGTTCCAATGAGCCTTTCCTTTGAGCCTCATGTTGGCATCCAAAACCCTCTGGACTTTGGAGCACTGCAAATTCCAGATTTTTGGATCAGGGATACAGAACCTATAGCAACTCACATTTGTTGTTGACTCTAGGGCAGACACTAGTCTAAATGGAGCTCAACTCTCACAACTGCATTATAATCCTCACTTCACAAATGAGGGGATTGAGGTCTAAAAAGTCATTTACAAAGGTTAAAAAAGTGAAAAGTACTTGCGAAAATACCCAGAGCCCTGCTCCTAATTTTATGATACACTGTACTGTGAAGTTTGTGAGAAATCTAAGTGAAAATAAGTCTGGCACTCAAAAAAAAGAGTTTGAATTGAAGAAAAGAAGTTTTAAAATTATCAGACTAACAATGGCATTTAAGAGCTACAGAATAGATTGGATTACTTAGCAAGGGACTGCAGACAAAAAAAAGAAAGCCTAGGAGAAAGTCCCAATAAATCCGTATTTAAAGCTATGTAGAAATAAAAAGAAGAAATAAAGGCAATTAAGAGGGAGGAATCAGTAAAGACAGTAAAATTCTGACGAAACTCAAGACAAAACAGAGCAGTCAATAGCACCAATGGCATTACATACTGAGATGAAGTTTACTAAATGAAGATGAACAGATGAATACTGGCTTTGGTTACTTTGTGGTCAATGGTTTACAAGAAGTTTCAAGGAGGATGATGCTTGATGGTGCTGTTGGAAAAAGTTAGATTGCCATAAGGAAGCTTAGAGAAAGACAGACAATATGCATAGAAACTAATTTAAAGATTTACTACTAGATCTATAGAAAAAGACATTACTGAGTTCACAATTCTAATGCTAATTTCATGTGGAAATATACTCACAGACACACCCAGAAACAATGTTTAATCTGGACATGACATAGCACCATCAAGTCAACATATAAAACTAACCATCGCAGGCAGGTTCCACCTTTTGGCTATCTGGCTATCGTGAATGTTGCTGCTATGAGCATGTACATACATGCACTTACCTGAGGAAAAATGTTCAATTCTTTTGAGGATATAAATAGAACAAAAAATTACCAGGTCACACAGTGACTCTAGGTTTAAATTTCTGAGAAACTACTAAACGGTATTCCACAGCAGCTAACAATATTTCACATTCCACCAACAGTGTATGAAGCTTCCATCCTCACCAACATTTGTTACTGTCTGTTTAATTTAGTTACCCTTGCTGTGGTTTGATGTTGAACACCTTTTCCATATGTTTGCTGGCAATTTGTATATTCGTTTTAGAGAAAAGTCTATTCAAGTCTTTTGCCCATTTTTCAACTGTATTGTTCATCTTTTTGTTCTTGAATTGAAACAGTTCTTTAGATATTATGAATACAAGACATTAGAAGATACAAGATTTGCAAATATTTTTCTCCCAAACTGTCGGTTATCTTTTTACTTGCTTGATAAAAGTGAAAATGTCCTGTGAAATACAAAAGCCTTTAATATGATGACATCGAATTATCTAATTTTTCTTTCCCTTTTCATGCTTTTGGTATTATATCTAAGAATAATATTTCCAAATTCAAAGTCATTCAGATTTATCACTATGATTTCTTTTAAAAGTTTTATGGTTTTCGTTCTTGTACTGAGATCATTGGTGGGCTAATACTCTGCTGAAAACAATGGGCAATTAAAGATGATAAACAGTTGAAACAAAAACATTTGCATGGTTGTCACTCCTTTATTTGATATCTAAGTCATTTTATTATGTTATTAAATTGTTTTTAACAATGTAATGTAAGGTAAAGAATAAAAAAGCAATAGATGTGGGGAATTAGCTGATAAATACTTAAAATTGCCCAATCAATCATATACCATGTATCCATTGCTAAAATCAGAATCTCAGTAAAGGATCTGAAATACAACAGTTTATATACCATAATTCTAAATAAATCCACCAGTTAATGTTATACCCAGGTTTCTATTGGCTATTTATATATGAACTTAATATTTTAAAGAAAGATCATCTAAGATAACTAAAATAGCAAGCTGTAAGTAGATGCTTCTAACTCATTACAAAGAACTACATTACTTATGAAAAGTGCTTTCTGAAGCAATGGAGAAATATGAGTATTGGCATGATACACTCTGAAGACAGTTAGGTGGCTCAGAGATATAAGTAGACACCACAAAAAACTATCTGCATCAAAAACCATCCCTCATATATAGTTGATCTAGTTTCCTCAATAAAGCACCATAAAAGAACAGACACAGATTTATTCTATTTAACATCATCCTGCTATGTTATAATAAATTCATTAAATAATGACAGTAATTAGTTCAGATAGTAGCTCTGTGCAACTGCTTATACCTACACTTATATAAGGAACATAGGAGTTTGAAATTAATTATCTTTAAAAATAATCTAGTATACCAATTTAAAGAAAAAAATCTAAATCCTTGTAAATGACTAGAAGAAAGTCACTCAGGATAATTACATATCTGATGTAATATATATCACATGTAATATATATCACATTCATATTTAAATTAACATGTAAGATTAATATCTTAGATTCACATTTAAGAATTAATAAGTAAACCATTCACATTATATAATTGCAAAACCCAGCTTATAAAATAGTACTCTAAAAGAATTAAAAATATGTGATGTCTTAAAATTTATGCATGAGGTAACACAAGTGAACAGAAATGGCAAACAAAATTTTCAGCAGCTGGAAATGATAAATTTAATTACTGAAGAGGAATCATGCAGAGAAGCTAGGTGCTGAACATGATTTACAAAGAATACAGGAAGTCATGTAAAAGTATCAAGAAATTTTCAACATCCAATGATGATCATAAGCCCAGAATCTAAGAATATATGGAAAATACATATGATTCCCAAAAACATATAAAGAATACATTATAGTGTTAGCCCCAAAACAACAACATTTTAAAAAATATATTTGGACCTAGAAGATCTCTTAATATTCTGATAAAAGATACAATTTTACATGAAACATAAAATAGACAATACCATTTGTCATTAATTAGACAAACATGCATATTAAAGCATGGTTACAACTAAGTGAATACTCTAAGAATAAGACCTGTTCAAAGAAACCATTGAGAGAGCAGGGGAACAGCCCACAGACTGGGAAAAAATATTTACCAACTCTATATCTGACAGAGGCCTAACATCTAAGATCTACAAGGAACTCAAACGTGCCAAAAAGAAAAAAACAAACAGCCCCACTACAAAGTGAGTAAAAGATAAGAATAAACACTTCTCAAAAGAAGACATACGAGCAGCGAACAGATACATGAAAAAATGCTCAGCCTCACTAGTCATCAAAGAAATGCAAATTAATACTACACTGAGATACAACCTAACTCCAATCAGGATGGCTATCATCAATAACTCAAAAAACAACAGATGCTGGGGAGGATGTGGTGAAAAGGGAACACTTCTGCATTGGCGTGGGAGTGTAAGCTAGTACAACCTGTATGGAAAACAGTTTGGGAATTCCTAAAAGATCTAACAATCGACCTCTCATATGACTGACTCTGCAATCAAACCACCTACTGGGAATACACTCAGAGGAACTCAACTCACTGTATGAAAAAGAAACCTGCACACCCATGTTTATTGCAGCATTATTTACAATAACAAAAAGATGAAAACAACCATGCTGCCCATGGATAAAAAAAGGGATACATATACATGATGGAATATTACACAGCCATAAAGAACGACAAAATCATGAACTTTGTAGCAACGTGGATGGACTTAGGGGCTATAATACTGAGTAATCTATCACAGAAACAAAGAACCAAGTACCACATATTCTCACTCATAAGCTGATCTTGCATAACTATCATAATACTATAAGAAAGGGATTGGCAGTAGTGGGAAACTGCCCGGGGGGTGGAAGGGGGTATACCTCATCAAGAAGGGTTCCTGCAAAATAAACATTTGTATGCCTAACCCTGAGCTGTATCCCACATATTAAAAATTTTTTTTTGGTGTGCGCAGAAGGAAGGCGGAATCTACACCTTCCCGGCCCACGGTAGCGACTGCAGAACTGCAGGAGACAATCTTTTGAGACAAGGCAGTTGCGACGGAGGGAGCACTGGGAGCGGGGGCAGCCTGGCATACACGCCGCACCTCGGGGATGTTACTGCGCATGGAACGGCTGCTTGGGGGAGACTATTGCTCAGAAGAAAAGATGTTTGGTTTTCACAAGCCAAAGATGTACCGGAGTATAGAGGGCTGCTGTATTTGCAGAGCTAAATCCTCCAGTTCTCGATTCACTGACAGTAAATGCTATGAAAAGGACTTCCAGAGCTGTTGTGGGTTGCATGAGATGCCTTCAGGAGACATCTGCAATGCCTGTGTCCTGCTTGTGAAAAGATGGAAGAAGTTGCCAGCAGGATCCAAAAAAAACTGGAATCATATGGTAGATGCGAGGGCTGGTCCCAGTCTAAAGACTACATTGAAACCAAAGAAAGTAAAAACTCTATCTGGGAACAGGATAAAAAGCAACCAGATCAGTAAACTGCAGAAGGAATTGAAACGTCACAATTCTGATGCTCACAGTACCACCTCAAGTGCCTCCCCAGCTCAATCTCCTTGGTACAGTAACCAGTCGGATAATGGCTCAGATACGGAGATGGCTTCTGGTTCTAATAGAACACCAGTTTTTTCCTTTTTAGATCTCACATACTGGAAAAAACAGAAAATATGTTGTGGGATCATCTATAAAGGACGTTTTGGGGAAGTCCTCATCGACACACATCTATTCAAGCCTTGTTGCAGCAGTAAGAAGGCGGCTACTAAGAAGTCAGAGGAGCAGGGGCCAGAGCCTCTGCCGATCTCCACCCAGGAGTGGTGACTGAGGTTTTTACATAGAAGGGGAACAAAACATGATTTAAAGTTTGAAAAGACCACAAAAACAACAAACTGACCCTCCTCTTTTTAACTTGGATACCTGCTATTCTGCCAAAAGACAACTTTCTAGAACAGTTCCGAATGGGTTCTTTTCCCCCATTTCCACAAACCGAGAAGCCAGTGTCTAGCTTACTCAAAAAAGAATTGTACATAATATTTAAGATGCTGAGTATTTCATAGGAAAGCTCAATGCTGCTGTAAAGTGCTCTTTAAGTCTTTTTTAAAAATCCCCTTCTAATGAATGAAACTAGGGGAATTTCAGGGGACAGAGATGGGATTTGTTGTATGATAAACCATATGTAGTTTTAGTCTTTCTATATTGAGAAGCAGTAGCTGGGGCATTTCTTTTTTTGTTTGTTTTTTGGGGTTTTTTTTGAGTTGGAGTCTCACTCTGTCCCCAGACTGGAGTGCAGTGGCCACTCTCGGCCACCGTAGCCTCGACCCGCTGTGCTCCGGTGATCCTTCCACCTCAGCCTTCCGAGTAGCCGGAATTACAGGTGCGCGCTACCACGCCCGGCTAATTTT